TAAACTCAAATAAATGGTTTTCTGTTTGGTACGTACTGTTCCTCAGTTATGTTTCCAGTTTAGGCTCCCTTGTTCAGGGCCTTCAATTCTGTGTTTAGTCTACTACATTTCGATTCTGTTTAATTTGCTGTTGCTTGTTTAATTCAAAATCATTTTTATGTTTTCATTAAATAAGGCTATACTTTTTTATGCTTTTACTTTTTAATTTTTACTATTCGTCTTTCGTTTTCAATTTATTTTTTGTATTTGTTTTTCATTTTCAATTAGAGAATTGATTTTCAGTTTCTACTAAAAAATATAAAAACCAAAAATAAAAGTATCAATTAAATGAAGCGTGTCATTTTATCAAACAACATTGAAACACAAAACAATTAACAATATTATAAAGCTAGTATCTTCATTTTACAATTAAAAAAATAATTAACAATATTATAAACCTAGTGTTTATATATATATAGATTTGGTTATGGCAAAAACAATTAGAAATGTTTATAAATTTTTATATTATACCTAATAAATGTTCATTCGATCTGTTTGATTAATTTTGAACTAAATTAATCAAATAATGTTATTTTATCTTTTTAATTGAATTAAATTTATTAGTTTCAAAAATTAACCAACTGAATTATATTTGGTTATTTTTATTAATTTTTTGATTAATTGAATAATAAAATATATTTAAGTTAAATTATACTAGATTTCAAGCCCGCGCTTCGCTGCAAAAATAAAATAAAGTTATATATTTGTAATTTAGTTGTAGAAATAAAATAAAATTATATATTAATAATTTAAATATTGAATAATATATAAGAGAAAAAGAGTTGTGTAACTATTTATATTTTGAATATTTACATCAATTGAAGTCAATGATAATGAGATATTAAACTTATTCATTAAATATTTATTTGTTTGTCATAATCATTGAATCAAAAAAGAATAAGTAAATCTACTTGCACCTTAACAATCAATATAGAGAAATATACCTAATAAATCAAAAAATAAAAAGAAAGATATATTAATTTAAATTTTCAATTGTTGCAAAAAGACTTTAGGATAGACAAAAGCAAGGACTTCATAAAATTTAAACCAATGAATTGGGATCTTGCTAATATAAATCTATTTTGTCAAAAATTGTTATACCTCGAATTAACTCAAACTTAAATCATTTTGCAAAGAGCACAACTAAATGCTAACCTAGAAACTTGTAAAGTAAAATGTTAGGGGTATTTTTGGATCCAAAAGACAAATTGATCCTTTTTTCTCATTAGAGACTTTCAACAAATGGCTGAGAGCATTTTTTACTTTTAAGCCAACCTAACATGTACGGCATTATGTTAGCTCAGCTATGTTACCATTCCACCTTACAGATCCCTCATCTCTCATCTATAAATAAAGTCATATAAGTACTATCCATCCATCTTACATTTCTTCTAATTTTCCCATTTTCCATTATCCTTCCAACCTCCAATAACCGACCTCTAACTTAAGTATCGAAATGCAAATGTAGGGAACACTCATTGCTTTTGTCCTTAATTGCTTTCTTTCTTTGTTGTGATTTTAGGAATTTGACCCTCAGCTCAGAGCTCAGCACCAACACAAAATAAATACAAAGAATGACATACCATAAAGTTGAATGGAAAAGTAACCTTAAGAAAATCACCTAATGTATCAAGTGAATTTAAACTTTCACTAAATTTTGTAAACTCAATTAACCAAATAATATACAATTAGAAAAATCGTATTCTAATTTGTATTAGATATCAATTTATATATTTTTTAAAGTTTTAGTATCAAAATTATAATTAATTCTTTTACTTAAAGAGAAAATAATAATAATATAATTATGATAAATAATTGTTAATGTATATGGCAACTAATAATAATAAAATAAAAAACCAACAAATAAACAAACAAAAAGTGCTTTGATAGTTTTCTATAAAGATATAAACTAATTATAATGAAAACAACAAAGCAATACAAAAAACACAAATTAATTTTACAATTTAAGACAATGAAGATAAATATGGCAAAGTTACATTAAACTCCGTATAGTGCTCAAGGCTATAAGAGAAATATAGTTTAAGATAATAACCAATGATTTAGCACAATAATATTACCAAACAACCTCTGTTTGTGTGTCTATGGTGTCATGGTGGTTTGGAACCAATCAGCAAATAGTTTTACCAAACATGCATAGAGTAGGATTAGACAACTCCATCATATCTTTTCTATATAAATCTTAACTTAAGTTTCACGTATTCCCTCCCTTCCTTTATCATTTTAGCACCTTAATAGAAAACCCCAAAAGAGAAGTACAAGCAAAGAGAATGATTATAATCCAGAGTTTGTGTCATAAATTAAAGTGTAGGTCTTGCTATAGGATACATGTATTAGCAAAAGGAGAGACAAAAAGTTCAAAATAATATGTTAAGAAACAAAAATGCAAGCAATATTATAATACAATAGCTCTAACAAAACAATAAAACATTGGAATAGAGGAAAGCAAAATAGTTAACACTATAAAACCCTTTAGTCAAGTAGCTAGAGTGTTAATAAATCATTTTCCACATAAAGAGGATAAAGATTCATAGAATTTCTTAAAACTTACATTTATTAGCTTTGGAACATACTCAATTGCATGTTGACTTGAATTGGTGACACTGAGACATTCTCAACCCTTGAATTGTTTTTATAAATATATAAACAAAATAACTAAAAGTTAAAAAATAAATAAGCAACGTAAACGAGTAAAAAAAATTGTAAAATTCGTATCATTTGACGTAAAATGAATAAAAAGTGTTATAATGTACGTTAACAAAGAGTTATAGCAATCTTAACTGTAATGGAAGGTAAAAGCAAGTACAAAAAAATATTATTGTAACATAAATTCTCAAGTAAGCAACCTAAAATTTTAGTTAATTATTATTTTGTAAATATATAAAAAAATAGCTAAAATTAAAAAAAAAAAAAAAAACAAATATGTAACACAAACAAGTGAAAAAAAGTGTAAAATTTGTATCATTTGGTGTAAAATGAATAAGAAATGTCATAATATACTAAAAAAGAGTTATGATTCTAAACTTATTAAAATGTAAGAGCAACCATAATAAGTGTCTTCTTTTTACTATTAACAATATTATAAATTTAGTATCTTCTTTTTACTATTAAACAAAATAATTAACAATATTATAAATCTAGTGTTTATATAAATACATATATTTGGTTATGGCAAAAAATATATAGAAATGTTTATAAATTTTTATATTATACTTAATAAGTGTTCATTCGATCTGTTTGATTAATTTTGAACTGAAGTAATCAAATAATATTATTTTATTTTTATTAATTGGATCAAATTTATTAGTTTCAAAATTTAATCAACCGAATTATATTTGGTTAATTCCGTTAATTTTTTTAGTTAATTGAATAATAAAATATATTTAAGTTAAATTATATTTTAAACTCTTAATTTTTCATATTAAACTATTTAACAAAATATTCAAATATTAAGTGAAAACTTTGACAACTTATAAAATGAAATTGTTATTTCAAGTATTTTTAGTTTTATATTTAGATTTTATTATATTTTATTAAAATTTTAATTAAATTGGTTCAAAATTTGAATTAACCATAATCCAAAATTTTTAAAAAATTATTTTTAATAATCGATCAAAATTAATTTAATAACCAACCAATTAAATGAATTAAATCGATTTATCAATTAATTTAATTAAAATCAAATTTTGAACACACTGTATATATCTATCTAGGAGAATAAATTCTTTCCTTTTTAAGCTATTTAGGAAGAGTTTAAAACCCAAATCATGTAAAATTTTTGATAAAATACTAAAAAAAAGCTCATGAATTTTTTTATTTTTTAAAAATAAATCTTTATATTTTTATTGTATCCAAATAAATCATATACAAATAAATCATATCCTTTAATTTATATCCAAAAATAAACTTTTATTTCAAATAAAAGAATTATTTACGTTCATGATTTATTTATGTATAAATTAAAAATTTAAAGTCTTATTTGGATACAAATTAAAGATTAAAGATTTATTTAGGTGCAAATTAAAAATTAAAGATTTATTTGAATACAATAAAAGTATAAAAAATTATCTAAATAAAATTATAAAACTCAAGAATTGTTTTATTATTTTAACCTAAAATTTTCAACCAAATTAATTTATATGTTAATTCAAGCCTGATACAAATCATGAACTTTCTATGTATTGACCTAGCTCCTTGTTGACACCCAACTCAGGCTCAGGTCCAATATTTACATGCCCAACCGAAGTCTAGAACATTTTCCTAACTTTATCATATAATTAAATTCAAACAATCATGAGAAAAATATTTTAATTTTGTACGTATAATACCTGCTTCATATAATATTCCTTTCAGGATCTTGAAGAATCAAAGGGTAATCCTTGAAAATTATACCTAACTGCATTGACAAATCATTGAAAGGGATTTCATATTGAAAATTATGCATAACTGCATTGACAAATCATTAAAGGAGATTTTGGAAGTCGACTTGGTTGATGCATTAAATAAGACTTTAACCAAAGGTAGACTGAGAGCCAAGTTGCTTGAATGAGGCCTCATGGTTACCTAAATAAGTTATAGAAGTGTGACTTCCACTTGTCCCTTATGTCCTCTCCACAATCAAAAGCTAGTGCCAGACAAACACAAAAGGCCATTATGCATGATTCAAACACACCATGAGTATATAAAAATTTTGTTCTCTTTTTATCTATCTAGTGTTGTTTTGAGAAGTTATTTTTAACCTTGATTCCAATCGGATCGGACAACTCTGATTCTTTTTCAAATCAAAATTTGATTTGAATAGGTCAGGTTTTCTAGATAGTTGACGCCCACCCACCCACCAGACCAATTTATGAGAAGTATTCCAATGCCGCATTTCTTATCTAGAAAATGCTATTTTAACTTCCCTAGATCATCTAAAACTATGTGTCATGGATAAACAGAGCCATCCAAAACCATAGACAAATGAATTGTTCAAATTTTCTTCTCACTATTAGCTAAGCTAGAACGGTATATATATTCGAGAATCTTGATCAAATCTTGTATGAAAAGCCCTCTTGCAATAATGGCAGGCCTCATCACATATTTTCATATCTTTTCCATTCTTATTGTTTTCTTAACCACGCCTATATCTACAAGAGTTGTCATGGCGTCGCCACTGGCTGTCAAAGCAGCTTACTGGCCTTCATGGACGTCAACTTTCCCGCCATCAGCCATAGATACATCCTTGTTTACTCATATTTATTATGCTTTTCTCATGCCAAGCAACGCCACCTATAAGTTTGAAATCTCAAGTTCGACATCTCTACTGCTGTCGAATTTTACTACAACCCTCCATCACAAGAATCCGCCTGTCAAAACTCTTTTCTCTATTGGTGGCGGAGGTTCTGATTCTCTTCTCTTTGCTCGCATGGCTTCAGAGGCAAAGTCACGTAAAGCTTTTATAACTTCAGCTATACAGGTTGCACGAAATTTTGGTTTTGATGGGATGGACCTGGATTGGGAATTCCCTCGGAGCCCAAAAGATATGCAAGACTTAGGCCTTTTGTTTATGGAATGGCGACGAGCTATCAACAATGAGGCTAAGGCAACCCACCGAGCTCCTCTACTTCTCACGGCCGCTGTTTACTTCTCAGTCGACTTTTTCTTGGATGAAGTCTACCGCAAATACCCGGTGAGCTCCATTAATCAAAATTTGGATTGGGTTAGTGCAATGTGTTTTGATTATCATGGAGCATGGGACACCTCGACAACAGGGGCCCATGCAGCACTTTATGACCCCAACAGTAATGTGAGTACTAGTTATGGGCTTAGATCATGGATCAAAGCTGGGGTGCCGAGTAGCAAGTTGGTTATGGGCCTACCACTTTATGGGAAGACTTGGGAGCTAAAGGATCCAAACTCTCATGAGATTGGATCAGCTGCAGTTTCGGTAGGCCCAGGAGACGATGGGGTACTGACTTTTGTCCAGATAGAGGAGTTCAACAAGAAGAATGGTGCCAAGGTAGTACATGATATGGACACTGTATCAACATATTCTTATGTTGGTTCAACCTGGATTGGGTACGATGACGCTATATCAGCAACGTTGAAGATTGAGTTTGCTCAGGCCCTTGGAATTCGTGGCTATTTCTTTTGGGCTCTTAGCTACGATAGCGAGTGGAAAATCTCTAGACAAGGTAATAGCACTTCATCCCCTCTTTTATTGATACGATATTAGTATCAATATACAATAAGATAATTTCAGTAATCTGATGACTTGGTTGATTAAAATTTAATTTGTCGTGCTTGATGTTTTGGCAGCTTCAAGAGCGTGGGTTCATGGTTAATTAAAATTGAAGCTTTACTTCGATTGATTTGAGTACTGATGATACGGTGGGAAATTTTTCGCTTTATCTTTTTGTGCCTTCCAAAGTTGTTTTATACAGTAAATTAGATAATAAAAACGATGACTAATTGATCAATCAAGTTGAACGCTTGTAACTCAGAACTTTTTGAGTTTCTTTTATTTCGATCAAGAAACAACTAGAAATAATCCATTTATTTTTTTCATGTATACACTTGCATGTTTAGGGGATTGAAAATTGCAAACCGATGATAGTTGACATGCATAATTGACAAATCAAGTTTATTAGCAACACAAAGCAAGAAAGCGTAGAAGGAAAAGAAAAAGGAAAAAGAAACAGTTTCAGAAGGCTCCAGGCAGCCTCCAAATGAATCATTCTCCATGAAAGCTCCAGATGAGATTGTGAATATTTCATCGGTCCGACTTCAGGTGCTACTAGAGTATTCTTTCCCATGCATTTGATGCTGCCGAACACAGAAAACATAAAAGAATTAGCCTACCAGTGTATAATAACAGAATACAGAAGTAATTTAAAGCTCCATGAACATGGTTAATTGAAAGGCCAATATGCTTTGAATGTTGATTCAGCAATAAAAGGTTAACGTGAGGTTCGGGGAAGTCTAGGGCTCAACCCCTATTACCCCAATGATCAAGTAATTTAAATTCAAATTAATGGAAATTGCCCCAGATGAGAACCTACCGGTTGCTGAAAGGGTCCAATTCGTGTCATATCCAAGGGCCCAGAAGAAATAACCATGAACGTGATGATCCTTAGCATGCTCAACCTTCTTTGCCACTGACGTTGGCCCATCATAATCAATCCAATTGGTTCCTGAGAATGAATATTCTGGTACCGTATCCCGTCATGCACTACATGGGCATTATGTCCAGCATTATATGTGCATTGCAACTTCCTTTCACAATAATATGCCATTATTTCCAGGCCCAACTCCACATGTTTTTTTGGGTCTATCAATTTCCATGTTCTTCCAGAAAGTGGCATGCCCATAACCAGCTTCTTTGGAGGGACTCCATCCACAATCCAGGATGACATGCCATAACTTCTGTTAATATTTGTCATAAAGTAGAGCATGCTCACCAGTGACAGAAGTGTTTCAACTTCCATGATAAACAAAGCACATAGGATTTACAAAATCAAGATACTTTGCAATTGCATCACCTGGTTATGTCCTAGGCAGATCAAAGAAAAACCTGGAAGCAAAATAAACATCAGCGCTTAATAGAAGGGGAGGCTTGCCTGAGCCTGAAGCCTCACTCTCTGCAGCTTTACGCCACTCTTTGAAGAGCACTGAGAAGTTTGACATGTCATCTGGGTTATTAGGAAATTCCAATTAATGTCAAGGTCATCAAAACCATATTTTCTGGCCGTAACAATAGTGGAATTGATGAAAGCAGCGCGATTCTCAGGGTTACTAAACATGTTGGAGAAATTACCAGTGCCAGAATTCGCTACTCCTATGGATAACATGGCTTTTGCCGGTGGTTTTTTGGCACGAATGGTAGCTGTAAAGTTTGCCATCCATTGATCATCAGGTTGGGTGATGGAAGTTATTAAAGGCATAAAACATGTGTGAAGTACAAGGTAGGGATTGATGAGGGAGGGAGACTATAAGCTAGCCAAGACGGCCAATAGCCACCTTTAATTCCATGATAGGAATAAGGTGAAGAACTAGGAGCCGGATGGAGTGCTGATGGAGATGGTGGATGTTCGCGGGCTCAGGGCCCCGTGTACTCCACCCAATTAGTTTCGTTGGTCTAGGCTGCTGCCAGTAATTACGAGCTAACAAACTAGGAAATGAAGCAGCAGAGAACAAGATATTTGCATCAATAATTAAGACAATGGCCAACAAGAAGACGCTATTCTTTGCTTGGCCATTTAGGATATATATTGTGATGATTACAAACTCGGGATTTGAATTTTTTTCAGCTTTAGAACCAAAGGATTATATATATATATATATATATATATATGTATGTATGTATGTATATATATGCTATTTAGAGCATCTGACAGTAGAGTAACTAAGCTACGGTTTTATCGATTTACTTGGTTATTTTGCTCTTGTGTTTGAAGTTTTCTGATCGGATATGTTTGGAGAAACTTGAATTATAGTGAATGGTATATGTTGTGTCCTAGGTTTACTATCAGCCAGGCCAGCTTTGTTGTTAATTTGGTTATAGGATCCTACAAATTTTGAACATGCTTGAAAACATCAATTTGTGGTACTGTTATTCGGGAATCATGGAGATCACTCATTGGAGAAGCTTTTCCGTTTAATTATGGATAATCAAGTTTCGCTGGCATCAAGCTTGTTTCCTTCTCCACCCGATATTGTCCCAAAGCTACAATTTTCAATTTATTTTTGTGTTGTTTCTTTTCATTTTTACTTTAGCTTCCCAATAGAGGAAGAAGCTGATAATTAACTAATTTAATTTCTCTTCGCATTGTTAATTCTTTAGGATTCATTCGTAAATATTTTTTTTGGGATGAATTAATAAATACATTCACATAGATTAAACTTAGTAATTTTAATCAGACACAATAAAGACATGAAAATAAAATCGTTTAAAATTTTGACAAACAAAACAAAATATTTTGTGTTTGAAGTATCGACAAATTACAATACAATAATTTTTATTTTTATACGTATTTAATATAAAATAAATATAATACAAATACACAGAAGATATGTAATATAGAGCAACAAACAGAAAAGAAAAATACTAGGTCAATAGTAAGACTTCGAAAAACCAACTGCAAACTGTTAGAAAAAATAAATAAGAGAATAGAAATAATAAAAAAGAATTTTAGCTTTTAGACGTAAAAAATATTTTTTAAAGGTAATTATGTCATTAGGATATAATAAAGTCTCAAACTCTCTAATTAGAAATAGTAAAAATGATTATATTGAAATATTTATTTATAATAAAAGAATAGACATAAATTTTTATTCAAATGATTATGACTTTTTGTATAATCATGACCTTTTATGAATAATAATATATTTATACTTAGATAGTTATGATCATTTTTAATGTGATAATTATTTCTATTCAAATATAATTATTTAAAATATGCATAAAATTAATAAAAAATTAATTTTATTCATCAATAATTAAAATTTTCTATCCAATGTAGGATACAACACGTTCTAAACAACCAACAATCTTCTACTAGTTTGAAATGTTAGTGCTAAATATTTAACTTTTCACACAAATAAATATTATAAATATAAAAATGTATCTCTCAATTTAAACATTCAATTTGCATATGTATCTTAGAATTTTAACGAAGTTGATGGTGTCCACAGATTAAACATTAACTCCGAATGCTAAAATTAAAGATATAACACACATAATACTTATTTATTATTTTGTTAGATGTTTATAACCGCTTTTAGTACTATTATAGCTATGTGCTTATCCTATTCAAAAACATTTACAAGAAAAACCCCAAATTTTCTTATTAAAAAAATATCACTTCTATGTTTATATAGGTAGAGTTTTCATTATGTCTCCGTTACTTTAGACATTGAAATAATAAACTCCATTAAGAGTATAAAAACTCATCTTTTTCACGCAATATATCACGCTAGTTTCTAAAATTTGAATGGATTTACTAGTGCTTAACAGATACATAATAATAACTTGTTTTTACCTATTAAACGTTGTAATTAAAGGTTACTAATTCAAAGTTGAGTTTCTATTATTGGTGTCTAATAGTAAGGGTTTACATCTATTCTACTTGTAGTACTACTAATAAGATATCTTGGATATCAATTTTCTTTTATGGTAATTACTCACATTTAAGATTAAATCTCTAATATAATCACTTCACCTAATATGTCTAAAATTTTCATTATGCATATCATTTACATGCTTTAGACATTGTTGTCTCATTCTTGTCATTTTAAGAAATAGATGGCATTGGTTATAGCTATAACTCTATATTCATTAATATAAAATTTCAACAATTCTATTTATACACTTTTATTTTTTAAAAAATAATTATTCTTTTAGTATAATTGGATAAACTTAATGAATGAACCAAGTTATTTTAGTCATTTTAAGATATTTAAGGACTTTTTATAATTTTACTTTAATAAGTTGTACTAAACTTATTAGCTTGTATAATTTGCTCATAAAATTATATTAAAATCTTACAACACTATGGTGATAATTTTTTTTTTTTTATTCTTATCACCACTACTATATGCAAATTTACATTCTTTTTTATTAAAGAATGTTCCATTCAATTATCAAGATATCATATATACTTAATTAAGTTGTCATTTTATTTATCTTTTCACTAATTTTTTTTTTAAGTAGAAGGCTTCCAAATCCTTCTTTAGTGAAAGATAATTAGCAAATATTTTATATCTTAATATTTTCTTCTAATAAAAATTTTAAGACTTTTATTTAAACTCAATATGAGAGTATACAACAATAAGAATGATGTCAAATATAATCACTTTCAATTCTTTTTTTTAGTATACTCATGCTTTTTATAGTCTATTTTTAAGACTTTCATGCCAATTCATGAAAACTTATGAATTTATTTCATCATGGACACCATTCACCAATTTATTACCATGAGCAAAACCATGTCCATATCCCAAATGGGTTAAATAGCATTCATCTTGCTATTTATTTTATTTTTATATTCACAAAATTTTTGAATCACTCATGACTTTTAAAGTAAATATAATTTTATACTTTCACTATATCCCAAAACTAAAATCATGAGATATAGATAATTTATACAAGCCATAATTATTATCAAATAAAATTAAACAAATATAACTTTTATGCAAAGACCACTAAGAAGAGCTATTTGTCTATTATTTATAAATAAATAATTTTCAAACTTATCAAAAGCACTATTCATTTAAGAGTCATACCACCTTCTTCATGGATAATTCATTTAGTGATCAATTCCAAAGATTAAGCCTATTGTAAGTGAATATTATTATCAAATCTGCACATTAAAAGTGTGTGACTAGTGTAAATCTTTGTCATGAAATTATAAAAACCCATGGACATTTGTGCATTTTCCCTTTTGAATTAATCTATGTACAATAATGTTATATATCCTTACAATTATTTATAATCTCTGTTTGCATTAAAACAAACTTTATTTAAATTGTTTTAATTGCAAACCACGTTAGCTTCTTCTTGGTATTCCAAAATAAAACTTTTCAAATCTATAAATATGTCGATAAGACATTGGTGGATTGCCTTCAAATTATCAATAATTAGTAATAGCCTTTAATGTTATTAATGATGTGCCTTTTCCATTTAAACTTGAATATCACCTTTAACCCAATTTGTTGGCCAAACTTTGGTATGAAATAGTAACATAAATTTCACAAATAAATCATGCCAATATATTCACCCTATTAACTTCATACTACACTAGCCACAATTTTGAAAATTCCATTCTTGTAAAACTTTTGGAATGCACAATTAATAAATTCCAACAGCCTAGGCAATATGAAAAATAATCATGAAATTGGATTCATGCAACAAAATCAAACAATGAAATAATGACATACTAATTTTGAATAAAAATTAAAGAAAAATTTATCTGACCTCATGGTAGATAATTATTTCTTTTTGACGATAATTATTTTAAGAATTCAGATTTTATCAATACATTTCTAAATTTATTTATGTTGTATCTCCATAAATACGAAATATAAAAACTTCTTCATAACTACCTTTAAATTATTAAAAAAAATAAATAAGAGAATAAAAATAATATAAGAGAATTTTGGCTTTGAGACGTAAAAAAATATTTTTTAAAAGCAGTTATATATTTAAGATATAACAAGGTCTCAAATTTTCTAATTAGAAATAGTAAAAATGAGTATAGTAAAAGATTTATTTATAATAAATGAACGATATCAATTTTTTTAAATAATTATGATTTTTTGTATAATCATAATTTTTATGAATAATAATATATTTATATTCAAATAGTTATAATAATTATTTTTGTTCAAATATAATTATTTAAAATATAAATAAAATTAATATAAAAATTAATTTTATTTATTCATAATTAAATTTTTTATAAGATGTACTACAATTTAAATTATTAATACAAATAATTCAATAGTAATATGAATGAAACAAAAGCAACCCTTTCAATATTCTAACATCATTCGATGCAATGACGTAATTTCCCCCAAGCGGTGACTCAATATTTCATAATCAAACACATTGATAAACTTGGGATAGAATTAATGCAATCAACGATTGTTTTTTCAAAAAGCACAATTAAAATCGATTTTTAACTCATGGATAAACTATGGATTCAAATATGTTTTTTGGTCAAAATTCACTACTAAAACTTTTGGTAGCTTTTGCCTTGTACTATTTTGTGATTTTGACTAGACAAAGGAAGTCTTGAATTCGAAGCGGCAAAGATTGTGGCTCGACCGGGACTGCCGATTACGGCCAACAGCAAACTTGTCTTAGCGTAGCTTCATAGGGGCCAGCATTTTTGGGCTAAAATTGATGTTGTTAATTTGGATTAAACTTTGAAAATCCTATAAAACATAGGAGAAGGCCCAAATACATGGATGGCAATCCCAACATCATTTGAGCTGAAAATTACCAAAACAGTCCACATTTAGAACTCATAGTCCATGAATGGCCCAACAACGCAAACCCTAAAATCCCAGCTGCAGCAAAAATTTATTATGTGAAGCGCTTTCTATCTTCTTCAAAGCTTGTAGCCACGCAGCGTCAAGACCCTAGCGCCGCTTCCCCTCCCAAACCGCCAAACATGGTAATCTCCATCCTCCCTTTCCCTTCTTCCGTACGTTAGTAATAGTTGAGTCATTCGTTTTAAGCTTGAATTGCTTTTGTTTTTTTTTTTTTTTCATTTTCCTTTTGCAAAAATGGCTGGTTATCTCACTTTATATGTAAACAAAGTTGAGTTTTAACAGTAGCTCTCTGGCAGCCATCACACAAGACCTTCATGATCAAGAAGAAGCTGGCCAAGAAGATGAGGCAGAACAGACCCATCCCTTACTGGATCCGCATGCGCACCGACAACACCATCAGGTCAATATATTTTCTTTATGTTTCGCTTAAATATGTTTACAGATTTTTGTTTTTGTTTCATTTTTAAGTATTTTCATTGATGGGTTCTTTTGAATTTTTGTTTTTGGGTTACAGGTACAATGCGAAGCGTAGGCACTGGCGCCGCACCAAGCTAGGGTTCTAAGCTGGATGAGCTTATTTGGATTCAAGCTTTGTTTTTGTTTTTCCAAGTTTATTTTAAGACTTTTTGATCTGGGATTTAATATTGGCAACTACTGAGGGGTTCATTCATTATCAGATTTTGATAAGATTGTTGACAATATTTCAAGTCATCGTTGCAACTTTGTTTTAGCTAATGCTTGATTTCATACTCCGCTTCTAGTTCCTTATTATCTTTATTTTCATTTGAGTGCTTCACAGTGATCTTGGCTATGGTGGTTGCTTTTACTTATCTTGTTATGTTAAGCCTTCTCACCTGGGTGATCTGTATGTACTTGAGAGTGAACTTGTTGAGTTTATTTGAATCTGAACCACTGCGTTGTTATGAATCAATGAACTTGAAATTATTGGGTAATAGTGGTAATGTTAAGCTAGTTTTTTTTAGTGACATTCTTTGATGCTTTAAAATTCTAGATAGCTATTAAAAACAATATGTAGAGTAGGAATTTAGTTGAAAATAGGAAGAGAACGTTGATTTATGGTGTGGATACTGTCTTTTCTATTTAAGACGGTCATGAAGGTTTTTTTGAAAGGGGAAATGCTTTGTGTGTTTCTAAACAAGGAGAACATTTTGGTAGTTTGAAATGGAAAATACTTTTGAGTTTTGAGGGAACTATTTTTGATCAGTGAGGTTCAGAGTTAATTAGATCGCAGGATGTGAGGCCAGATATCTCATAGGACCAAAGTTGTGCAAATGAATACTGTTGGTTGAGTGAGCTTAGCAAGGTTGGATGGTTACATAACATACTGTCGTGCCATTACGTTTGCTTGGGGAATGGTGAATTTGTAGAACTTCGATCTAAGCAATGACATGGAACTAGGAAAATAAGTGACATTGCAAGTAATATTCTTGGTTACATGATGGGTATGATGTCATGGTCGTGGACCTCATGTTTGGTACTTCTTGAATTTGAGATGGTGTTAGTTGCCGGTTTAAGCCTTTGGCAAAGGCCAATGTGATGACTTACATTACAGGTCTGACGTTTGGATGCAATAATATACATGGATAAAATTTATGTGTTTCCACATTAAATGCTATCGGAGTAAGTTCACCGTCTGCTTACATGGGAGTAGAAAAGACATGAGAGCTTCCATTTGGTTTGCTTTGTGCTACATGTCAGCCCTTTTCTTGTCGCGTAGTTGTTGTGCTGGCATTCATGAGTGGTACAAAGGACATTTATATTTGCTGAAGCCTGAGCTTCTGTGGATAATGAAGGATTAGTGCAATGTGGTATGGTGAGGGCGCCTAATGATGTGTTGAGTAGTTAAGTAGCCTGTCATGGGAATCAGTCTTGGACGAGCGATGTAGAATAATAAGTTCGTCTTAAAATGATGATTGCCCCTTATGATATTTTTGTGGAGACATTGTCAGCTCAGGAACCAGTTTTAGCCTTCTAGGATCTGTTTTTTACATTAAAAGGATTTATCTTAAAAGACTTTAACAACATATGCAGAGGGGACCTTGGTCGCCGAATGTTGTGTTTGCAAAAGCTCGTGCTTTCTCCAACGAACAACGTTGTTTATTTGTTGCTTTGGATTTTAAGAGTAGAAGGCCAACTGTTTCCTTAACCATTACCGGCTAGCGCTTTCGCCACAGCACCAATGTGCACAACATAATCCACATTAACCGATGCAAGCAGAGAATTATAAAGACATGATTTTAATTTGTCTTCATTTTATTTAGTGTGTTCTAAAGTGTACAGCGGCCTAAAAAAATGACAAATTTAACATATATCGCTACTATTGTTCAAATATCCCAGTTTCTTGTAATGTATGGTATGGTTATGTAGAGACACTGTAAATCCACCCCTTTTAGGTCGTTAATATTCCTCAATTTTGCGCTGTATTTCTTGTTTCGTTACAATTTACGCCGTTAGTCATTAGATTCCTATGAAAAGCCAGCATTAGTGTTGACTCTCTGCTTGTTTTGACTTTTTAATGGCTAATGTTTTGACGCTCAAAAATGTAATGTCATCCCCACAAAAAAAAGAAAATTTGGGTAGGCGGCACTTGTTTTTGACACAAACCATAGAAAATCTTGTTTTCAAAAACTGTACGGAAATTTCAGTTTTGTAATATAAAAGGCTGTCCGATACTCTGATAAAACGGTTAACCCAACAAAAGCACCGGGACTTCTGGCAAGCCACAGGCCCCGAAGAAACCAGCCCGAATTCAATGTCGTAACTGTCTCTCATTTGCCTTGAAGTTGGTTATAAAAACAATACATTTCAATCCAGAAATCGCTCTCTTTCAAGAACAAATAATCTCACTTCTCATTTCTTTTTCTCTGTCTCTGCACCGCTCCATTCTAGTCTTATGGAGGACTGGGGAGCCTGACGGACAGCTACCATAAAACCTGAAGAAAGAAGCTCAAAGATCAGCTCCTGTGGTCAAGAGTTTCTTCTTTCTTCTCTTAAACTAAGTCCTGGTTTGTTACTTTATTTGGACTGTGTCCGTAGCCATGGCTTCCGAGGATGACATCTTTTTGGAGCAGATCAAGAACGAGACTATTGATCTTGTAAGCATTTGAAACCTTTTTGTTCCTGTTAGCTTCCTTTTGTATTGGTTTCTCGTTGCTTTTGTTTCTAACATGTTGAGAAAAAATAAAGATGAAAACCAAATTACTGTGCTGTGTGTGTGTTTTTATGTAGGAGCGAATCCCTGTGGAGGAGGTTTTTGAGAAGCTGAAATGTACGAGAGAGGGTTTGACAACAGCAGAAGGAGAGAAAAGGCTTAACATTTTTGGCCCTAACAAGCTTGAAGAGAAAAAAGAGAACAAATTTCTTAAGTTCTTGGGCTTTATGTGGAATCCTCTGTCGTGGGTTATGGAGGCTGCTGCTATCATGGCCATTGTTTTGGCCAATGGAGGAGGCAAGCCTCCAGACTGGCAAGACTTCGTTGGTATCATTACTTTGCTTATCATCAACTCAACCATCAGTTTCATTGAGGAAAACAACGCAGGCAACGCGGCAGCTGCTTTGATGGCTGGTCTTGCACCCAAAACTAAGGTATACTTTTTGTTCATTTTCGTACGTCTTATTGCTTCTACGGAGTCCCTTTTCCAGGTTCCATCAACATCATGGTTCACTTTGTAGGTGTTGAGAGATGGCAAATGGGGTGAGCAAGATGCAGCAATCCTGGTACCAGGAGATGTAATTAGTGTCAAATTGGGAGACATCATCCCAGCGGATGCTCGTCTCTTGAAGGGTGATCCACTCAAAATTGATCAATCTGCCCTCACTGGTGAGTCCCTACCTGTTACCAAGAACTCAGGTGATGAGGTCTTCTCTGGATCCACTTGTAAACAAGGTGAGATTGAGGCTGTTGTCATTGCCACTGGTGTCCACACCTTCTTCGGCAAGGCTGCTCACCTTGTTGACAGCACCAACAATGTTGGTCACTTCCAAAAGGTAACTGTAATTGTGGTTGTTCATTATGATGATCCAAATTGGTCGTGTTTACATTAGATAATAACCCATCGCTTCATGTTCCTTAATGGTGCAGGTGTTGACTGCCATTGGTAACTTCTGTATCTGCTCGATTGCTGTGGGAATGCTCATTGAGATCATGGTGATGTACCCAATCCAGCACAGGAGGTACAGAGATGGTATTGACAACCTGTTGGTGCTTCTCATTGGAGGAATCCCAATCGCCATGCCCACAGTCTTGTCTGTTACAATGGCTATTGGATCTCACCGCTTGTCACAGCAAGGAGCCATCACCAAGAGGATGACTGCCATTGAAGAAATGGCAGGGATGGATGTCCTGTGCAGTGATAAGACTGGGACTCTCACCCTCAACAAGCTAACAGTAGACAAGAGTCTCATTGAGGTTGGTTATGAGCACTTCTGCTATCTTTCTAACATGGTTTCGCGAGCATAAACTTGGTATTTATCCATGAGTATATTTATATCCACAGGTGTTCGTAAGTGGTATGGACAAAGACACTCTTCTGCTGCTTGCCGCAAGGGCTTCCAGGGTTGAAAACCAGGACTCCATTGATGCTTCAATTGTAGGGATGTTGAGCGACCCCAAAGAGGTATCTGATACAGCCCACATTTCGTTCATACAGTCTGGAATAGCACGCTATTGCATAAGTTATTCCCACCCACCCCCCCCACCCCCAAAAAAAAAAATAAATAAATAAATAAATAAAAGAGTTTCTAATTTTTCTGCTTATGAATCAATAGGCAAGGGCTGGAATTACTGAATTACACTTCCTTCCCTTCAACCCTGTGGATAAGCGCACTGCTATCACCTACATTGACAGCAATGGCGAGTGGCATCGTTGCAGCAAGGGTGCTCCTGAGCAGGTAAGATACTACATCAACTGAACTGCCAGGGTAGTTCATTTCTGATCTCTAAATAATCACTGGTTGCACAAGTGTGGCTTCTCAATCCAAAATCTAATGTTTTTACCAGATCATTGAGCTTTGCGGGCTCACTGGAGACTTGAGGAAAAAGGCGCATGAAGTCATTGACAGCTTTGCTAACCGCGGCCTTCGGTCCTTGGGAGTTTCTAGACAGGTGGATGACCTTACTGCTAATATACTTGCTTGATTTCATATGAGTTTACCACTTCTCTAACCAATTTATTTTGTCTTTTCACAGACAATTCCAGAGAAAACAAAGGAGAGCGCCGGAGGACCTTGGGAGTTTGTGGGTCTCTTGCCTCTCTTTGATCCTCCCAGGCATGATAGTGCTGAGACTATTCGACGGGCCCTTGACCTTGGTGTCAATGTTAAGATGATCACCGGTGACCAGCTTGCCATTGGCAAAGAGACTGGTCGCAGACTTGGAATGGGCACTAACATGTATCCTTCTTCCTCCCTCCTTGGCCAGAGTAAGGATAAGGCTATTGCTGCCATTCCTGTTGATGAGCTGATTGAGAAAGCTGATGGATTTGCCGGAGTCTTCCCTGGTAAATGGATGATCATCTAAGTTCTCAAATTTACTAAAAACAGCAACGATATTTGTAGTAGATTTAATGTGTCAGGAAGGCCTCTTGCTTAATCACTTAAAATTTGTTGTATGCAGAGCACAAGTATGAGATTGTTAAAAGGCTCCAAGATAGGAAGCATATCTGCGGAATGACAGGAGACGGTGTGAACGATGCCCCTGCACTTAAGAAGGCGGATATTGGTATTGCTGTCGCTGATGCAACTGATGCTGCCAGGAGCGCCTCAGACATAGTCTTGACTGAGCCAGGATTGAGTGTGATTGTAAGCGCGGTGTTGACAAGCAGAGCCATATTCCAGAGGATGAAGAACTACACAATCTATGCTGTTTCTATCACAATTCGTATTGTGATGGGGTTCATGCTCGTTGCTCTCATCTGGGAGTTTGACTTCTCACCCTTTATGGTCTTGGTCATTGCCATCCTCAATGATGGAACCATCATGACTATCTCCAAGGACAGGGTCAAGCCATCTCCTATGCCTGACTCATGGAAGCTGAAGGAAATATTCGCAACTGGCATTGTCCTTGGGGCCTACATGGCTTTCGTGACAGTGCTATTTTTCTGGCTTGCTCACGACACAGACTTTTTCACCGTGAGCGAATCACACTGCAAATGAATCAACCAAATTAATGACTCTATAAAGAAGAAAAAGAAATTAATATTGTTTTCCATTTTCGCAGGAGAAGTTTGGCGTGAAGCCAATCAATGATAATGTGGATGAGCTTACTTCAGCTCTCTACCTTCAAGTGAGTATCATCAGTCAAGCACTCATCTTTGTGACAAGGTCAAGGAGCTGGTCCTATGTTGAGCGCCCTGGTCTCTTTCTTCTTGGAGCCTTCATTGCTGCACAGCTGGTCAATATATATTATTAATATATTTCTAAATTTTACTTGTTTGCATTGATTGTTGTCATATTATTGCCAAGTTTTGCTTAAAATTATAACTCTTCTTACTTGTTCAAAAAGGTGGCTACTGTCATTGCTGTGTATGCAAGCTGGGGCTTCGCCAGGATCCAAGGCATTGGATGGGGATGGGCAGGAGTCATCTGGGTCTTTAGCGTAATAACCTACATCCCTCTAGATATCCTCAAGTTCATTATCCGCTACTCTTTGAGTGGCAAGGCCTGGGATAACCTGCTTCAGAACAAGGTCAAACTTTTTCTTGTTAAGACATTTTAAGCTTATATATTTTAATTTTTTTTTTTTACTATATGGTATTCTCTTTGACTAAATTTCCTTTGTTCTTTACGATTATCAATTCAGACCGCATTCACAACAAAGAAGGACTACGGCAGGGGAGAGAGGGAGGCACAATGGGCAGCAACTCAACGTACCCTACACGGCCTTTCACTCCCAGAAGCCAGGTCGAATGACAAGAACCACGAGTTGTCTGAAATAGCTGAGCAGGCTAAGAAGCGTGCTGAGATAGCAAGGTACAGTCCAAAAGCCCTGACTCCTCAGCCACCATTATTGAGAAGCACATGCTTTTATTATTTTTCCTAAAACTATGATCACAAATTTAACTTGGCTTCATTTGACAGGCTGAGGGAGCTCCACACTCTCAAGGGTCACGTTGAATCGGTGGTGAAGTTGAAGGGGTTAGACATTGATACCATCCAGCAGCACTACACAGTATAATTCAAGGATGGAGTATAGGGAAAGCATGATAGAGAAGAGATAACATGGGAAGAAACGATCCCCTGCTTTGTTATTGTTTTCTGTTTTTAATCTTTAGAGGGGGGGAATATCGTGAGATCAGTTGTTCTTGAATTTGAGAACGATGTCAGCCATCAGAATTTAATAAAAAATAAAAATTAAAGGGATTATTATATTGTATGAAGTATAATTATTATTATTCTTTTTATCTATCTTCCGCTGCAATTATTATTCAAAATCCAAGCCAAAACAAGGAAATAGTACTCAATTTTATGGCACATTAATGTCTTAAAACAGGGGCCACTTTCCCCACCTTCAAAGATTATCCAAATTCCACTTCCCCACTTTCCAAAGCCCGGAAGAATCAACGGCCAGAGATCTGCCACGTAGGTGGTACAAATTCTTTTGCCGCCAACATTCTTTCCCGCCAAACGTAATGCTACTAGACGATGAATAACCATCCAACAAAGAAAAGATCCTCTTTTCATCTCTTCTTGTCTATTATCAAAATCTTTGTTTATCATGGCGTCTCAGAAACTAACAGAGTATGAACGTAAAAGACTTGAGAACATAAAGAGAAATGCCGAAATGGTGGCCGCCCTCAAGATCCACTCCAAAGCCGCCACTCTCTCTGCCGCTACCAAACGCCAAAGGTAAATCTATCTTCATTTTCATATATTTTTGTTACAACAATTTGATGCAAAGAGTTTTATTGTCTTTTTAAATATGATTGCATTGCAGGGCTAAAACATATAAAGCAAGTCCAGTGAAGAAACCCAAGACTGAGACCCCGATTGTAATCCGGCGATCATTGAGAACGAGAGGTATGCCACCAGATTCAAAGGGTTTGGCTGATGATTTATGCGAAAATTTTGATAAAAACTCAAAATCTGTTAGCCCTTTAAAGCCACAATCACCGCGTGTCTTGCGTCCTATTGGCATGAGAGATGTGTTTGGTGGAGATGAGATGGAGTCTAATCAAATGCTGATTGAAACAATTTTGACTATTGCGAAGAAAACCCAAGTTGGTGATTCAGTTAAGGAAGAGTTTGATAGTGTTAAGGATGTTAAAGAGGAGAATTTGAGTGATTTTAACGAAAAAGGAAAACTGGAATCTTGCAAAAGTGAGGTTTTTGAATGTCCAGTCAAGGTACAGAAAGTTAAAGAAGAGTTTGATGAGAATTTGAATGGAAAAAACAAGTTGGTTAAGGGTATGGTTAAAAATGAGTATTTGGATGGTTTAGTTAAGATTAGGAAGAGTTATCCCTGGCTGGAATCATTGGATTTGAAACCAGAGAATATAGCACGGCTTTTGCCTGGAAGGATTATGGTGGTTAAGTTTTTCCCTTGCAGCAGTATGAGGATAATTGCAGCGGGGAACAAATTTGGGAATATTGCATTTTGGAATGCGCGATGTGAGGATGAAAAAGATGGGATATATCTGTATCACCCGCATACATCCTATTTCTGGGATTTTAATTCAGCAATATTCAATGTCAAAGGTACTTTGGGTTTCGAAATTTGTACTAAATTAGTTTCATACTTTGCTCAAATTTGAAGATGCAGAATTTATGATTTCCGTTTGTCAATTTATTAAAGGCAAATACATTTATGATGTTTTCTCTATATTTATTGCACTTGAGTGCAGATCTTCACCAGCTGCTATGATGGTTTTATTCGACTAATGGATGCTGAGAAGGAAGTTTTTGATCTGCTGCATTCCTGTGATGAAACTATATTTTCCCTCTCTCAACAGCCTAATAATTTGACAAGCTTATATTTTGGTAAGGGTCGTGGAGGATTGAACATCTGGGATATTCGGGCAGGGAAGTCCAGCAAAAACTGGATGTTGCATGAAGACAGGATCAACACCATAGACTTTAACTCACAGAACCCCAACATTATGGCAACCAGATCAACAGATGGAACTGCTTGCATTTGGGATTAAGGGGTATGAGTGCACATAAACCCAAAACCTTGAAGACTGTGAGCCATAACAGGGCTGTTCATTCTGCCTACTTCTCACCCTCCGGAAGCTCTCTTGCAACAACTAGGTATTAAGTTTTTTTCTGAACCTAAACCCTTTTGGGTGATATTTCAGGGTAAATGTATATATTGATGCTTAAATTTCATTCTACTTTCGAATATCTAGTTTCTAACTGATACCTTTTGTTTCAAATTTATTTGTAGAATTTTATCTTCAACAGTGATTAAGCAACCTGCTTTGCAGGACAGACTTTATCATATGTCACTTAAAGAATTTAACTTGAATGGATGTCCTTTTGAGTTTTGTAATGAGACATTGCTTCTCTTCCTTTGAGCATATATTTTCTAGTGGGTGGTTCATAGATGTTACCTTATTTATTAATGGATGTCCTAGTTTTGGCATATACATCTTGAAACTCTTCTAACATGTCTTCAAGATGGAATTCATTGCTTAAATAGTTAAATTGGTGACTTTTTTCTGGATAACTGGAGAATTTTGTTCTGGTTGCCTAGTAAACTCTACAATTAAATTAACATAATTAGTATTTAATTTGATCCTGGTCCCTGTTCGACTAATGTTTTTTTTCTTTTCATGTAGTTTGGACAACAAGGTTGGTATGATAACTGGAGTCAATTTTGAGGACATTTCTATGATATACCATGATAATTGGACGGGAAGGTGGCTTTCTTCTTTCAGGTAGGTTTGGACTGTCATGTACTATTTTCTTCTATAATAATCTGCTTGATGTTCTGTGGTGTACCCAGCAACTCTGGTGTACTATTAATCTAGTTGACGTTATATCTGGCATTAATAAGGTTGAGTTTTAATTTTTATATCATATCATCTTTTTCTGTAAGCAGAGGAATATGGGGGTGGGATGATTCATGCATCTTCATTGGCAACATGAAAAGAGGTGTTGATGTCATCTCTCCCGCTCAAAGAAGAACCATCATGACTTTACAGAGTCCACAAATGTCTGCAATTCCCTGCAGATTTGATTCACATCCTCATGAAGTTGGGATGTTAGCAGGAGCCACGAGTGGCGGTCAAGTGTATGTGTGGACACCAAGATAAAAAATACTGATTTCTGAGGAATGAGTGCTTCCACTTGTTAGCTAATGTTAACATGTATGATTGTGTATATTTTAGTTATTGACAATTCTATGAAAAAGGAAATCAATGTACTCTAATTTAGGATATGGTCTGTATTCTGTAGAATTATTGGGATTTTTCAGATATTTTTAATCTCATGTTGCCATGGGGAAAGGGATGATAATTGTTCCATATGTTCCTTGCCCAAACAGTAGGAAATAGCAGACAGATCGAGTAAATTTGGATTCTGTACACAAAAATAATTAAGGGAACATTTGGATGAGTGAAGATGGAAATATGTTTGAAAGCAAGAGTGGTGAGATTCAGTATAACAAACTGTTTTAGAGTCCTCCCTCTGGTTTCTAATTGGAGGGATAACGTAGTTGAAAGCCCTTTACTAGCACTTAGCAGGGTTTTCGTGTAATTATCTTAAGATTTTGGCAAGAGTAGTGTTATTTATACCCCACTTTTTTTCTTCACACCCTATTACTATGAAAACCGATTACTTATTCTCTTGCATCTCAAATCAAAACACTAATTTACTAAAAAACTCAAACACCTCACCAATTCTCTCTTCTTCAACGTCAACTCTAAACTCTTTAGGGATTAAGCCCCAAATGAAGTCTCAATCATTCATTTGATGTTAGATAGTTTAAAATCATAGATAAATCATTTTTTTTTTTTTCGTTTGATTTTATGTTTAATTTCAAAATATTTATGATTTTAAGTTTAAGGGTACGATTTAGGATTCCAATTTGAGCATTCTAAAATTAAACTTTTGGAAATTGTTGAAAGTTTCTAGAAATGGATGTCCGAAAATTTCTTTAACGTATCGAAAATTTATTTTTAGAATCCGTTAAAAATTTTTAAATATCCACTTTCGAAAACTTTTAAAAATTTTTAGAAGTGTATATTTAAAATTTTTCAATGGTTTTCCAGACATTTATTTTCGAAATCCTTTAAAAACTTTTGAAAATAGTTTTTGAAACACAATAACTTAAGGCCACTAACAGAGATCAAATAACTTTTTGGTATTGGTACACAAGAATTAATCTCATTATGTTATCAGCAGACCGATAAATTCGTCAATAAAAACCTCTAATATTTCAACCACTAGACATTGTCTGATCAATAGCATTTGTAATATTTTTACAATTCTAACTTATGTGCATATGAGATAAATCACTAATTGTGAAGAGGCTCATACAAATTGGCTGCATGACTGTCTCATTGCATATGGTGCAGTAGCCACTTGCATGAATACTCTTCACAATTAGCAATTTTTTTCAAATGCATGTTTGTTAGAATTGGATAAATGTTATGAATATTATTGAACAAAGATTTTATTATTGAATTTAAATGTCTCATGCATTGGAGAAATCATTACAGATTCGTTTAGAGATCGCAAAAAGGGATATCCGATATTCTCATGCCAGACATTGATAAAGAGATCATAACAAAGAAACTAAAGTAAAAAAATTACTTCCAAAAATGTATTTTGAAATTATATTTTCAGATAATTACAATACTTTTCGAAAATAAATTTTCAATAGAATTAAGAAATTTTTGATATATTAAAAAAGTTTTCTAAAATTCATTTTTAATAACTTATTGAAGAAGGGTGTAAAGATAAAAAAGATAGTTAAATAATAGATATTTAAATAATTTTCTTAATAGTTAATTTTTTGAGGTGCGTTGAGAGTTTTTTTTTTTTTTTGGTTGCAAATAATCCTCTTTTGGCAATGCAAATTCTTGGGTTTTCATATAATGTTATAGACGAAATTAACCTTGATAAGCAGAATACTAGACAAATATCTTAAACTTCTGTATAGAATTGCATATGGAGTAGAGTGGTTTGAAAAACATGTGATTTTGATCACTTTAGAAGGTTTGTCGTGACCAAATAGAGAGAGTTGGACTGGAATTATATGGATTTTCATGTCAATTAGAGGAATTGTCAGTGACTTAGTTAGGCTTGCACGTCTAGGATTGTGCTTACGTTGATCAATTAGAGGAATTATATGGAGAGTGTTGCACCTTGCAGTCTGGAAAAGAAAAATATTTAAACACTTGATAAAGTAACTAGTTGTGCAGTTAAGTCCTCAGATAAAAAATTTACATGCTTGATACACACGGTCAAGTCTTGAGACCATCGAATACATTAAAATGTAAGGTTGAAACAACAAAATAAGACCCTCAATGAGAAAGGCTACTGTTTCAAGTTAAACCTCAGTTGTAGTGTGTGTATATATATATATATATATATATAGCCTTTTGTTAGTCAGGCCATTCCAGATGGTAAATATCTTGTCACCAGGAGTACAATTGGAGCTTGCGATAGAGATTAGAGGCTCGGGAACTGCTCCTAAGACCTGATAATTTTGCTTGCAAATAATGAGGTGATGGTACAGCTGCAGTTTATACTTTGCGGACAATGATACGCCTCTC